CCGAGGCTTTGCTTGCCATCGAACAAACTTTCATCCAGTCCCTCCAACCTGCACTGAACCACCCACACATCTCAACCTGGTGGTGTCCACGACGAGGCATCAAGCGTGCAAAGCACCTACACAAAGTTCAAGGCACTGGCCTCTTCACTCTCTTCTGCAAACTTCGCCGAAGCAACCTCCCTGGCCGGTTCGCCGCCATCAGACACATGCCGATTTTCAGGTCACGCATCACCACTTGGACCTTCCTCACCGACTTCAGCAGCAACACCCTCCGCTCTTTTGAGGTCCAACGCCAACTCCACCACTGGAACTTCCCGTCAGTGGCCTTCGCTCCTTTGTGCCGACTGGCTGCCAACATGCCACAGCCTCACTCTACCATTTGCCTCAAACACCTGCGCAACATCGGCACGAAGCGCGGCATACCACTGCCCCGGTCTTCTGCCCCACTTTTCTTACCTTTCCTGCAGCATCCATCCTACGGGTCCGACCTCGTCCAGGACATGAAGTCCATCTACAAGGAGGTTCACCACGCCGTGCCTTTCCACGCTGTACCGTCCTTCAAGGTCGTTCATCAGCGAAACTCCCATGTCTCGGAGTTCCTGCATAATCACCGAACAACACAGAACGACTGGGCGCAGCATGTCCCACCCGTGTGCGCCTGTCACACGCTGGCAACACGAGCAACTGGTGAACACACCCATCTTGTCGACGGACACCTGGCTTGCCCTGCCTCTCACCTCAATCTTCCTCCCCACCTTCACATCATCGCACACGGCAACAGCAGGAACCCCTTCTACCCCTCCAAACAGAAGTACGTTCTCGCCTATGTCACGGCCTTTAACCGTTGGTGCACCCACCACCACTTACCACACGTGCACCAGCAGTGGTTGGAGGATCACGCATCCCTCCACTGGAATACGCACAAACAGTGCGGCAAGGCAGTGTTTGACGCTAGCGCCCTTCACGCCTTGAAGGAGTGCACCGGGAACTTGGTCTGGCATTGTGAGGACCACGCGGCTCACCGTTTGATGGTGTTTTGCCCGATCCAGTACTATCGCATGCTGGACAACACATGGTGCAATTCAGACATTTTCGACGAAATGGTGGGCATCAACCCCTTGCAGCACCACGACGACAAGGTCCATGCCATTCGCCGCTCTCTTCCACGGTACGATTGGGCCTCACGACTATGGTCGCGTTCCTACAGCCTATCTTCTGCCGAAACGCAAAAAAACAGTTCTCTGCTGGCCGCCCCATCATTTCATTCGCCGGCTGCTTCGCCAGAAAGCTGTTCTCGGCCACGGCCTACTTGCTGCATCAACTTGTGGCCGTGGCATTTCCCCGATCCCTCCAGCATCACGACGTGTGGCAACTCCTCACAGCGATTCAACGCTTCTTCCGTGACAACGAGAGCACAACGCACTTCCTCATCTACAACCAAGACCTTGAGGGCTTCTTCACTTCCATCCCTGACGAAAGATTCCATTCAGCATGGCTTGTGCTGAACGACCGATACCTCGCAGCCAATCCCGGCCACGCCCCATGGATCTCCGTCAACGTGACTGAACGCCAGTCACATCTACGACTATTCCGAGGTCACCGTCGTCGTGCTCCTCTCCACGAACACCGAGTATGGCTGGAGGACATGCCCACCATCCTCCGCACCATTTTATCCCTTCGCTACTTCGTCGTGGGCGCTCGCATGTTTGCCCAACGTCGTGGCTCACCCATGGGGAACCCGGCAAGCCCAGCCATGTGCTTGCTTGTCGTGGCCGCAGTGGAGGAATCCTGGAGCCACACTTACGCCGAAATGCTCCACAACAACAAGCAACTTTGGTTTTCCTGCCGATACGTGGACAACCGGCTAACCATGCTCGCCGCACCACTCGCTACCACACCACCTTTTCGTGCTTTCCTCGCTAAGGAGTTCTACATTGACACCATCACCCTGGCCGACGAGCCGGGCAACGACTTCTTGGGTTTCTCCATCAATTTGAACACACGCTCCATCCGGTACAAGCCCCCCGACTCACCGTCCCAGTTTCTTCACCCTGCATCCGCCTCCCCCACGATGGTGATCCGCAGCTCTTTGGACTCGCGGAAGCATCTTGCCAGACGGCTTGCATATCCCCAACGTGAAGTTCATGTTGCCCTTCAACATCTTCGAGACCTGTGGAACGTCACTTTGTCTCACACAGATTTACCAGGGTATGCTCCGACCAGACTCATTTCGTTCGACCAAAATGCTTGCTTCTATGCGTGGGTCACTGCCTGGCATGACATTTACTTAATCAGACCTCCGCTGCAGCATTCTTGCCTTTTCAGCTTGCATTTGCGCCATGTCGGACGAATTGCGAACGCTTCTCCAACAAGCACGCGACATGCTGGCCATTGCCGTCGAGCTCCTCGACGCCCTGGACCACCTTCCTGGGACTATACCCAGGACCTCGCCTGCAAACCCCAGTCGCTGCGGCCTTGTGACCCCGCCGGAGCTCTTGTCGTCTCCAATGGCATCCGCTTCCGGAAAGAGTGCACCAACGACTGACAACGCACCACACTGCGCCCAACCACGTCCAGCAAACTCCGTTTCCCGACCCTGTGCTCTTCGACATCCACGGGGTACTCCGGCCACCAGCTTTGAATCTTGAAGGTCTCCCTCTGACACCTTGCACCGCTACATCGCCTTCACCCTCAGAGGCCCCCAACAGTGCAGAGCCATCAGTCTCGGACGATGAACGTGCAGATGCAGCTCATTCACCGGCACCCTCAACGGCAAGTGACAATTGGTCGCCCAGTCAAGTTCAACGCCTTCGTGAGTTGAAATCCAATGAGCGTTCCCGACCCAGTTACAAAGCCATTGGCAAGATTTTGAAGAAATCCCCCGACAGTGTCAAACAGAAATGGAACGAGGTGAAGTACCTGCCGGTTTAGGTCTCAGCTTTGTCGCTGCACTGATCAGATACGATCTGCCGCAAAAAGCGGCGTGTGTGTGTGTGTGTGTGTGTGTGTGTGTGGAACCTTCTCTTGCACGAAGGCGGCGTCGCTGCCGGTATTGGAAAGTCTACGGTATGAACACGAGCAGGGGGACCAGGGATGCTTGACTTGGCCTGGTCCAAACGAAGCTCCAAGTCTTGCATCAGGATATGGCAGAAGGACGCTTCTGCCACATACCTGCGCTAGATGATAAGCTGTTGGTTTACCCACTGGATTCTGTGCCGTGATGTTGATGCGGTTGGTTGTAACTAGAGTAATTGTAACCAGAGTGACACTGCCCGGACATGACCTTTGCGACTTCTCTGCATTTCAAAGTGTGTATCGCTTGGCACGTCCGACAAGGCGCCAAGTTAGAAAGGTTCCCATGCCCGGCGTGTGTGTGTGTGTGTGTGTGTGTGTGTGTGTGTGTGTGTGTGTGTGTGTGTATAGGTCGGCCCCGCATGCACATGTATGTGTGTTCATTTGTACACATATGCGTGTTCCAATTGGGCACGTGTTTGTGTTTCAGGTGGGTACATGTTTGTTGTCAGATGAACGCACGTGAGTGTGTGTGTGTGTGTGTTCCGGGTGCCCTTCTGCATAAACACCCCCCTTGATATGCGGGACAAAGTGCCGGACAAAGTGCGGGACAGACTGCTGGACAAACAACTGTCCGGCAAGTTGTCCGGGGGGTTGTCCGGAGGGTTGTCCGGAGGGTTGTCCGCACACTTTGCCGAGATTTATGCTGCAAACCCCCCCTCCCGCGAGAATACTTCCCTCCAAGTGATTCCCGAGTGGTTTTGAGCGGTTTCCGAGTGGTTTCCGAGTGGTTTCCGAGTGGTTTCCGAGCGGTTTCCGAGTGGTTTCCGAGTGGTTTCCGAGTGGTTTTGGCGTGTTCCAAACCTGTCCGAAGACTTGTCCGGGGGGTTTGTCCCTCAAAGCTGTCCGGAGGGTTGTCCGGGGGTTTGTCCGGGGGTTTGTCCCGGGTTTTTGGGCCCTCAAAGCTGTCCGGAGGGTTGTCCGGGGCTTTGTGCGGGGAGTTGTCCCGCCGATTTTGTGCCCTCAAAGCTGTCCGGAGGTCCGGGGGTTTGTCCGGGGAGTTGTCCGGCGTTTTAAGCCCGTTTGGACCCAAAATGTCAAAACAGGTGTTTATGCAGAACCGCCTTTGCCAACAATATATATATATATATATTTCTGTGTTCGCGTGTCGACATGTTCACGTGTACACACTTCCAACTAGACACGTGTACGTGTTTGTGTTCCAGGAGAACACGTGTTTGTTATCAGATGAATACTCGTGTGTGTCTGTGTTTCTGCGTGCACATAAATGTGTGTGTTTGCGTGTGCAGTACACATGTGTGCGCTCCCTTGTGCACATATGTGTGCTCACGTGCTCCCACGTGTGCACATATATGTGCGTTCACGTGTCACACACGTGTGTTCTTATTATCAGACACGTGTATGTGTTCTAGGTGAACACATGTTTGTTTTCAGATGGAAAAAAGATGAAAACTGATGTGTGTGTGTTCCACGTGTACACATATGTGCGTTCACGTGTCCAATTGGACACGTGTTTGCGTCCCAGGAGAACACACGGTTGTTTTCGGATGAGCACACTGGTGTGTGTTCCGGGTGCACATTTATGTGTGTGTTCCACGTGTACACATATGCGCGTTCACGTGTCCAATTGGACACGTGTTTGCGTTCCAGGAGAACACAAGGTTGTTATCGGATGAGCACACTGGTGTGTGTTCCGGGTGCACATTTATGTGAGTGTTCACGTTTGCACATATGTGTGTTCACGTGTACACATACGTGTGTTCCACGTGTACGCACATGTGTGTTCCACTTGGAGACGTGTTTGTGTTCCAGGTGGACAGATGTGTGTACCACGTGAACACATTAGTATGTGCTAGGTGAACAGCTTTTGCATTTGACGACATATTTGCTCTCCAGGTGTGCCCATGTATGTGCTCCAGAGTCGTTGGACAGAAAGCCAGGAACTTTCAGCAAGCAGACTCTGGCAGGCTGCAAGCCCAACGTGACCGCCATCGGCTCGTTGAAACAGAGGAGCTGCTGTGAGATGAGGTGCTTCACAGTTTGCGAGCTGCCGGGACACAGCTTGCACGTTGCCCGCCGAAGGAGAAGCTTGCCGCATGGGATGTCATTTTCCAAAATGCTCACTGCCAAAAGTGGTCCTGGGAAGAGTTCCGCGACCGAGCATCCTGTCTCAAAATCGGCGCTGTATTCTCGACGAGCAAGGCAGCTGGTCGGTCCGGCAGCCGGTATTCCCCAAACCCTAAGCCTAAACCCATCCCATTGTAAACGTAACTTGGTTCTAAAACCCCAAACCAACCCAAGACCAGCCCAGGACCAGCCTTAAATCCACCCAGCCCGCAGACCCCGGGTCTACCTCAGAGACCAAAATACCAAGTAAAGAAACACTGCCAAAGGCAGCCCGAGCATCCGCAGACCAAAGGGCTACCCCACAAACCAACATACAAGACAGTCCCCCCGAACACAAAAACAAAGAAGCCAGCAGTGGCCCGAGTATCCGCAGAGTTCGGGGTCTTCCTTACACACCGACATACAGACGGTCCCCCAAAAACATCAAAGAAACACTACCAAGGGCAGCCCGAGCGGGATCTACCTCAAACACCAACATGCAGGAACGTCTTTAAAAAAAAAAGAAGAGATGCCAGTGTACAAGCAAGTCCCCCAACAAAAAAACACAATACCAAAAGGCAGCCCGAATATCCGCAGACCCCGCAGTCTGCCTCAGAGGCCGACATACCGGAAAGTCCAAAAAAAGGCAAAGGAACGCTGCCCAAAGGAAACAAGAGCCTACCAAAGCCGGCCAAAGCATCCACAGACCCCGGGGTCTACCTCAAAGGCCAACATACAGGACAGTGACCCCACGGGGGCAGCGGCGCGCTGGACCCTCGCTCTACAAAACGCTGTAAATACCGTCAAAAACTGCTGTGCTGAGCGGTGGGCTGTTGTTCTGTCCGTTTTGCTTTTGCTGTGGCTGGCTCGCGTGCTGCGCGGTCCTTGCTTTTTTCGCGTTGGTTTTCGGGCCTTTTGGCGCGCGCGCGCGACCACAGCCACAAAACGCTGCTATTTACTGTGTTTTGTTGGTTTTGCGTTTCCGGGCTGGCTTGCGGGCTGTTCTTTTTTTTGCTGCTGTTTCTGCGGCCTCTGGACCCCATGTGAGCTTTCTGGTTTGAAAGCTGGCATCCCCGGCATCATCTGGGGTTGGGGTGGGCAACATGCATAACCTAACCAGCCATATCATAGCACAGGATACGTTTCTCATACAAAAAACATGACATGACATGGTATAACTTCAAAGTGGCGTAGCCGGCTAGAGGCCGCAGGCCCAGAAAATAAAGAATACTTGGCAGTCGAAAATAAGCCCAAACTGTTTGTTTCCCACACGGGTCTGCCCAACCAAGTTTCGCAATTGCGCGGGTGTGCGTGCTATGTCTGACTCTTTGCGCGGTGATGTCTGACATTTGGGTCTCTGACTTTGTGGTTGGATGTCTGAATTTCTCTTCGCTGTTTAAAAGCACCCCACCCCACTCAAAGCAGCACCCTTTAGTTGGATTTTCCAAACAAAGAATTTTCCGACCAGCTTTTCGGGAAACAGCATGAAGCCTCCAATCTCGAAGCGCCCCGCCGTGGCGCATCGGACAGGCGCCAAACGCCGATGTGTCTGTGTGTGTGTGTGTGTTTGTCTGTCTGTGTCCGTTTTTTGGGAAGGAAGTCCCCAAACACAGGAAAGAAACCCAACCACAAGCACATACAGGAACGTCGCAAAAAAAGGAAGGTACACACTGCCAACGGCAGACCGGGGTCTACCTCACGAACAGTAGAACCCAAACCCTAAAGCAGCCAAACCAAAGCCAAAGAAGGCTCCGAAGAAGGGCCCTTGATTTTGGAGACGTGTTTAGGGTTAGTTTCGGATCAGGGGTTGGTTTACGGTGGATTTGGTGGATGTTTCGGGTGGGCTTGAGTGTAGGGTTGCCTTGGGCTGGATTCGGGAAATTACGTTTAGGGTTAGCTTGGGATTGCTTAGGTGTGGATTGCGTTACCAGTTTACGGTTGGATTTGGGGTTAGTTCAGGATGGGCTTGCTGTTGGTTTTGGGTAGCTTTGGGATGGCTTTGGGCAGGCTTTAGTGTCAATCTGCGGTTGGTGTGCGGGTTGGGTTTAGGCTGGATTTAGTTAATGTGAGTTTAAGCTGTGTGGGGTGGGTTTAGGCTCGGTTCGGGGTTTGGCGTGGATCTAGTGAAGAATTCAATCGGTCAGTTTGGGGGTTTAACATCAATTGCATCCGCAGTGTGGCTGTTCAAGCGTAAAATGTGCGAGCAGCGCACTTGGACGGTTTGTTGTTTCCTTTTGGGCCCCAAACCGGTAACCCTCGAATCTATAGGTTATCAGCCGTATGCTGGGTTCGCGCCCATTTGGGACCACTTGCGCCCACACCGCCACTGACCCGGCCGCCCCGATTCGGCTAGTGGCTGATTCCTGTTTGCAGGGTCAAGGTCTTTGGGAGGAATCGAGCCTGCTTTCTTTTCAGCTCCGCAAGGACGTGTCAGCCTAGACAACGTCCCCTAGGTTATCAGCCGTAGGCCCCTAGCTCTAAGCAATGGACGGTTCCCTTGTTCCAGTTGGTGGATCCAACACGCCTGTGGATACTGTCGGAGTTAGCTCCGACAACGCCACTGGCAGCGGTGCGCGAATGTTATAACCGCACACTGATGAACTCCCTTCAACTGTACAAAACCGCAATCTTTGCTTTTGGGAATGATGCAGCTATTAGGTCTGAAGCCGAAGCCCTGCATCAAGCAGCTCTAACGCATTTGCAAGCGGAAAACCGTGAGGAGCTCCGTGTCGCACAGAATCAGCTGCATGCACATTACGCTGAGTGTGTGCAAGCCCAGTCGCATAGAATTCGTGAATACGAACAGCGAGTGAGCGATGAGTTCAACCAAGAAGTGAACTTCGCTGAAGCCAGGATAAGCCATAAGTGTGAGGAAAATGCCCAAGCATTGCATGAAGTGGAAATGAGACGCAAAACAACGGAGTTTAGGCAAGCCATTGAGTCCACCCTGACAGACGCTCAGCAGCTCCTTCAGGAGCAAGCCGCAAAGCATGCTGATGATACTGCACGTGTCGAAGCGAAACATGCCAGGATGGTCGACATGATGGCCTACCAAAACGGGCTTCTGCAGGACGAGCTCGATGAGCTAAAAAGGTATCAGAAGCAACACGACCTCCGCGAGGATGGATCGAAGCCCGAAGGGGCAGGCGATACCCAAGAGGATTCGCCAGAGCTGATGACCGACGACATGAAGTCAGCTCGGTCGCAAAGGTCAATGTTGGACCCGTTGTCCAATCCATTTCAATATGCAAAGGGAAACTTGAGGTCACTTGTTACCAATGACGGCTATGAAGCTGAGTATACCCCCAGCAATGCCACCTGCTGAACGTGAAGCATTGAAAGCCGATGCTCGCGATCCGCAGGGACCCGCAGAAAAGCCATCAGGTAGTGGTTGGTCCCCAACCAAAACAAGTGCACCGGCTCCGCCCCTGCAATTCTCCCAGGGGCCAATGCCAACTGACCGTAAGCAGGGAGGAAAACCTCCTGGCGGTCCGCCACCCGGTGATGATGGGAACGGCGATGGCGAAGGTGATGAGGACGAAGGTGACGGCCTTGGGCCCAACCTCGGCCAAGAAGCTTTCGCTAAGATGTTGATGAAGTTGGTAAAGGGTCACACGAATGACGAGAAGCCCAGAACTCGCGAAAGCGAGACGTTGCGATTCAAGGAGATGCCAACTCCTGAAACGTACCGTGAGTGGAAAGCATCGGTTCGTGAAGACGTCCGCGCTGCATCCGACCGACCAGACGAGGCTTGGCCTTGGATCATGGAAGTTTGGTCCGATCGCGAGGATAAGAAAAGGCTGTTGGAAGAGCTTGGTGAATCTGGGAAATGCGTGACTCTTGACACGAAGATTCTCGCAGCGCTCACGCGCTCAGCGAAGGGTGATCTGGCTCAGCGAATTCTAACGGCAAAAGAAGAAAGCGTGTGCCAGGGAGGGAAAGGCAATGAGGGGAAGGCAGGTCCTGTTTATGTTTGACCAATATTTCAAGACCAGTGAAGAACCTCTCCTCCTTGGAGGACCTGTTGCGTGTCTCGCGACACGGCGAAGGGATCATTGATCTCAAGCTATTCCTAAACGCTTGGGACTCTGTCATTGCTGGCAGGAAAAAGCCACCCGAAGAAAAGGTGTTGAAAGACATCCTGCTTCGCCAAGTGAGGAGCTGCCATCTGTTGCGGTACGACATTGACACATATGATCGTTGCCGTGATGATGATCCCAATAAATCGTACGATTTCCTGATGCGTTGCATGAGGGATCTGATTGAAAGGGATAGGCTTCGCGAGAACCGAGAGCGCGTGTCCAAGGTCAACGCCAGTAGAGCCCCGACGCCTAAGGCCGGTGCCGCTGCTCCTGAAAAGAAGGATCCCAAGAAGAAAAGCGCACCTAAGCCGAAGGATGCCGAGGAGAAGTACTGTTTTGACTTCCAGAAGGGCTCGTGCACGAGGGGGGCAAGTTGCCCTTACGCGCACCGCAAGGAGCCGCGAGGACGCTCTGCGACCCGTGGCAGACCAAATTCCCTCAAAGGCAGTAAGGGAGACAAAGCACCGTGCTCTTTCTTTGCGCAAGGGAAGTGCACCAGAGGTGACAAATGCAAGTTTAGCCATGCCTCCACAGGCGGCAAGTCAGCCGCTGCGGCATCGAGCAACGAGGCCAATGCTAACCCTGCGGCTAAGAAGCGTGCAAATTCACTTAAGCCTAAGCCGAAGGCCAAAGCCGCCGCAGTCTGCACCAGGTACGCCATGTTCGCAAAGCCGATCGATCCGGTAGGTGTGTCATTTGACAAAGCTCACGTACATGAGATCCCCGCCGAAGGCGATGGTTTTAAGCTCGAATATGAGGACCGGCAGTCCAATAGGATTCCCAGTGCAAAGGACTGCCCCAGGCCGCCCAGAGGTACAAACAAGGCAGCACGCAAGGCCGCAATCCAGTTGAATGCCGTGATCAAAGCCATTGAGAATGGAGCCCAGCCCGCTTGTGGTTTCATGTGCGATGTGGAATCCGATTCCATCTCAAGCCTGTCTTGTGACGAGTGCCTGAGAATTGCCATGCCGC